TGTGAACATTAGACATGGCAAAAGTGACTTAAAAAATAATGAAACTTGAAAGTTAGAAATGTTAAGTTTTTTTAATCTGTCTTGTTCCTGCACCACTAGAAATCTGACCGAGGCGTTTTTCATATTTTTGCAAGTAAAATTATGCACAGATTTGCACAAATGTACAAAGTCCAGATACAAATCCTGTGGTGGCTGATGGCTCTTGTGTAAACATACAGTTCCTAATGGATGCATGTAATATCCTCCTCTGTGTTTGTAGAACACGAAAAAGTAGTTGTAGGATAAATGATTAATTCACTTCAGACATAACACTTTTCATGCTTCATCTACGGTGAGGTTGATGTATTTTGCTTTACAATCTGGCTGCATCCTGAGTGCCCTTACAAATCTCTGTAATGGGCATTTCAACAAGTCCTCCTTTCCTGGGAGTACCAGCAATACCTCAGTGCATCTAATCAACCCAGTGCTGTGTCTGGGCTGGGAAAAACTGCATCCCCAACTTTGTTGGCTTAAGGAAACAGTCTTAATTAGCTACACATGAATGCAGGAATGGAATATTCTTAACAGTGGAAGCAAATATCTCTCATCCCTGGAAGTGTCCAGGGCCAGGTTGGATGGAGCTTTGAGTAACCTGGTCTAGTGGAAGGTGTCCCTGCCTATGGCAGGGGATTGGAACAAGATGATCTTTACAATCCCTTCCAATCCAAACCATTCCATGATTCCATGAAATATCTCTTGTTTAATAAATTTTGCATTGGCTTCATGGTCAAAAATAACAAGTGTATTGGCAGTACCTACTAATTTGAAACTTGAATGACTATTTAAAGCATCTTTACGATGAGACAGAGTTGATTGTCCCAAGTTGTGACTGGTTTGTTATATAATGGCAAAACAGTAAAAATAATACATTGATATTAAAATGACTGGTCTAGTGAAGGAGAGCTTGAGGGATGTAATGGTTATTTGAATTGCTGTAGCATTATATTAATGAGGTAAGTCTGTGGTTATCTGTATTCTAGTTCAATTCTTTCTGTTATGGCACAGGGTTTAATTGCAGGGGATATAAAAGGACCATCAAGAAGAATCTTCAGAATATCTGATTAGATGGAAGCATGTCCTTCACCTTCAGGTATTTCAGCAGTCTGCAGTTTCACTTGTTGAATTTCACATACAACTGTGTGCACCATGTGTTTTCTGTTGTGTTGAGCATAAATTCTTTTGCCCATGGAAAAATATTTCCTGCTTACTTTATCTGGTAGAAAGAAATTCTTGCTGAATCTGTAATGATGGAAGTCTGTCTTTAATCTACAAAAATTATTTCTAGTTTAAAGTATTGTCTCCCGTTTTGTGATTGCATTTGTTATTTATCTACCTGATGCAGACCATATGCATGTTAATTAGATATATATGGATTCCCACATATTGATCTTTTTGGGTCCTAAGTGATGTAAAATTTTTACTTTAACCTCTCAAAGAGGATATTTGTCCACTTAATGAAATCCCCATGAAATTCAGCTCTCTCTTCTGGAGGAGATCAGGGTGGAATAGCAATGGGTATAGAAAAAGCTGAGTTCAGGGATCAGGACTGAAACAGGGGCCTTGGTTTATGCCTTATTGTCAGAGTTGCATGATGTTTTAGGCTGAGTTACTTAGAGGTGCTGGAGGGTAGAATCTCCTAAAGATGACTGAGTGCTATGGGCAGTGCTGCTTGTTTTTATAGCTGGTTTAAGCTATTAAAAGCTTTTCACTTTAAAAATGAGATTCCCAGTCAAATTGATGACAGATCACTGTAGTGAGAGGAGATGTACTTGCACATCCTCGCTTGAGAACGTGGCCCAGGCTGCTCCATGGAAACAAAAGAGAGGAGAAGCAGATGCACTGCTTGTTTTTGCTTTAGAATCTCTTCTGCATGCTTGAAATGGAAGCATGCTCCTTCGGGTTTCTCATTTATTCACCTCTAGGTAGGTTTTCCCGGTGGAATTCCACACCCTTCCTCCTCCTCTGCCCTGGATGCCCTGGGAGAGACAAAGCCCGGTGTCTGTCTGTGAACCCTTTGCCCGATGGTGCCTTGACCTTGTTTACCAGCTTTGGCTGTTTAAGGTCTCAGCCTCTGCAGTGGCACTGTCAGGAATCTCTCTCATGCAGGAGGCCTCCCGTTCTAAATTTACCCTCCTTATGGTTTATGGTCCCTCCTGTGTGGTTGCAGAGAGAGGCCCCTTTTATGACTCGGCCCTCGCTCCTTCCCCTGCTCAGGGTAACCCTTTGTGAGCAGTGCCCATCCAAGGAGTGCTGGCAGGGTCCTGGCACACTGCCTGCCACCATGTGCTCTTTTGTTGCTGCTGGGGAAGAGCAAATTCAAATAAAATCCTGTCATTCCAACTAAGTTAAAAAGCTTTCCTTGGAACTTGGTGATTTTGCTATCCCAAGATGCTGGTGGGGTCCTCAGACTGAAGCACTCATGGGAGAACAGCACTGCTTTTATTTTAAAGTGAAGTTAAATTATTTTGCATTTTCTTTAGGAACCTTTATAACATCCTGTTAGACAGCAGTTATTATTGATTTAGTCAAATGCTTAATAACAATAATTATGTATAGACTTTGAGGGGGTTTTTGTGTTTCTGTATACAAAAACAACGTGTAAAAGGGATGTGCACACCAATGCAAATATTATTTTGTCACTTTGTACTGGGAAACACATTAGTTAATTTCAAAAAAAATTCAGACAAGTGATTTTTCTCCTGCCTATGGCAGCTGAACAGTATGAATGGTATGTGCATGTGTGTGCAGGTTTGGGGGGATGTTCACCAAAGCCAACCTTAGCTCCACTGACTTCTTGAGAACACTCCAGGGGACCTAAAGTGAGACTTCTGCTCCATATTGTTCCTAAAGGAACCTCACTTTCCCTCCTTCCCTTACACACAGAGGCTGAGACATTAATTTTCTTCATGAAAAATTTTTTGATTTCCCCTTTATTTTGGAGTATGTGCTCCTGACTCACTTGGGCCTTTTCAGTGTGTTGCACAGGAAAGACAACTGGAAATCTGTAAACATATTTTAAAAAAAAATTACTTCTGTGCAAAGCTGTCTTGATGGTAAGTTCATCAGAAGTTTTCTTTAAGGCCTCAATATTTAATTTGTAACCTAATTTTGTCCTTCAGATGGTCACTGTTGCCTTAGAGTACAAGCCTGTTCTGTACCAGGAGGTTCATGTGACCCTGAAGGCACCAGTTGCTTTGTTCAGGGAGCAGAAAATGACTGTGCTGTGAAGCTGCATTGGCTGAGCCCTGGCAGGAGGGAGCCTTGTGAGCTGCACCTCATGAACAGTATTTATCAGCATGGCAAATATTTTTCTTTGTGCTAAACTTAAGTCTTGCGTGCTGCTCTTTTGCAAAGAATTAATTTACTGGTAGATTTACTTTTGTGAATTACCAAAGTTTTTAATAATAATCTTTATTTTCTCTCCTCACATGACTCCTTTGCTTGGTGGTGTTGCATAGTACACACTTTCTGCAGAAGAAACCCTCCTAAGGACTGCCTGAGATTTTATAATGTGACCCAACTTGCCAGTGCTGCACTGCTCTTTTCTCTCCCATTTTGTCACATACAAACATACCATGAAACACATTTACAGAGTAGCTTCTGTTCAGCATTCTGAATACATAGCTTTGCTGTCAAGCCTCAGGATAGAAGCTGATTGCCTGCAAAGGGCAGGAAAATAGTGTTTAAAGCATTTTAAGCAGTGCTGTGTAGTGGTGAATTATCAGCTGCAGTTTCTTACCCTTTGCTGAGAAATCAGATGCAGATCACTGCTGGAGGGAGAATGGGGGGACCATGGATGAATAGTCTGAACTGGCACTACAAATCCCTTGCTCCTACTTTTATGTGGAAAGGTATCATTTTCATCATTTTCAATATGGTGCTTTTATGATTCGTAATTTCTGAATCTTGATATAGATATTCTTGCAGTGGTTCTTACAACACTCTTTGTTGTCTCAGCCATTTATTTTGCACTTCCTGTGCAGTTCTTTCACATTTCACTTGGGCCACAGGAGCTGCTCTGTGAGGCCAAACCATGATTAAAAGTGGAGCATTCAGAACTAAGATTCCAACTACAGCAGCATGGGAGAAGATTTTGTCCTCAGTTTTGGGCTTACAAGAGCTGCAGGTGTAGCTGGTTGATTGAGAGCCCCTTAAATTGAAATTATTTCCTTCCTGTGATGGAAGACTGGCAGGACACCGTTTGGACAGCAACACATTTCTTATGTTCTTTCTCTTGGGCTGGTGATGAGCCACCAGACAGGTTTGTTAGATCAGGAGGAGGTTATTGGTTCTTCAGGAACACCAAGTGGGACTTTGCATTTAAGTAACAGGCATCAGATGTGTGAGGTTTTTGTTTGCATGCAATTAACAAATACCCTTTGGCCTTGAATCACATGGATTAAAAGTTATGTTGCATAAAAGAGGATGTTACTATTTTGGGAAGTCTTGAGTGTGTATTTTAATATTTTTTACATTCTTTTGCCGATGTGAAAGTGCCCAATTGAAGTTACTCAAAAAAGAGAAATAAAAACCTAATGATCTACAACTGACCCATAAAGGGGCAGACTTCCAAGAAAGAGTGGAATCCTTGGAATTCTTTCCCTGTTATATTTTTGGACTTAGGCTGTGTTTTGAAGGGGTTTTTTCCCTCTTCCAGCTTTAAAGCAATTTACTTACACCTAGAGAAATTTGAGACTCTGCTTGTTGAATTCAAAGGAGACAAGAGTGATTTGATGCTGTCATGGATCTCCTTTGTAAAATTGCATGTCAAGAGTTAAATAACATACTGTTAATTTTTTACTAGCATTACTGTTTTAGACTAGGATTATCCAAAAGGCTCTAATGAGATCATTAGGGCCCCAGCTACACCAAGCAGCTCCTGGGGAAACTGGGGTTTTGAAACTCATGTTTCTTGGTTCATTTAAAAAGTCAAAACATCTTGTGTTTTATTTTAACTGCAGGTTGCCTTTGCTTGGTCGATACAATAGCAGAAGATCCAGAGGTTCTGCAAGGAGATGCTCAAACATACTATGAAAAACTCTTGAAGAAATCATTGCCCACTGCTGATGTTTTTTCCATCCCTGGAGGACAAGAGGTAGTAGGCTGATGTTTTTCATACTCCAAGTTCCATACTTGGAAGTTAGTTTGTTGGTTGTGCTCACTGTCTGTGAACAGGGGTAAGCTGGTGTGGCTGGATTACAGATCTCTTAAAATCATCAAATCCTGCATTATTTCATAGTTTGCATGCTGTAAATGAGAGATGAGCTTCAACTGCATGTCTGGAAGAGGGTTTGGAGTACTTAGGTGAACTTTGCATCTTGACCTGCCTCCTTACAGGACTGGATCAAAAGTAAGTTGGTCGAGATTAATGCTGTGGTGCAGCTCTGTATTCTGCCTCTGCTGTGCAGTTTACACAGGTATTGTGACACAGCCCATTGTTTCCATTCTTTCCAATACTTATATTGATAATTTTGGCTATGGTTTCTCCTCAATGAATTCTGATCAGCATAAATCCTATAGGTGTCAATGCTTTAGGGTCCATTCCTAAGCCACCTGGGGGAATGCAGGTGACTGAACAGGCCTATTGAAAATATTTACTTCAGTCAACCTATGAAGCCTTTCATTCTAGATCATAAAAGGTGTGTTGGGCTACCTGTTATTGTACTGTAAAAGCAGAAATTGGATTAGGTGAAATAAATGTTTGCAATAGTGTGGGTTTTCTGCAGTTTAGGAATAGGATATGTAGTAGTTTCCAGAAAAATGCTGCTCCAGGTGGGTTTAGCTTCGGCTTTGAACTGGGAATGTAACTGGGTTTAAATACTCTTTTAATGCCCTCTAGTGGACCTTGTAGGGTTAAATACAAACAGACCTGAAAATGCAAAGATCCCCCAGTTTAGGGTTTCTGTGTCCTTACCTCGGCCTTTCGTGCCTGGTTGTACTTTTGGAAGCTCATTTGCTGCTCCATTGGACAGGAGGGGAAGTTAAAATCCCGACAGTGCTGTGTGTGTGTTCCTGCAGTGGCTACACACGGGGAGAGCAGTTATAGGTGGACTTATGGCTTTTGATTCACAACTGTCTTTGCTTTTGTGGCTTGTCACCAACCCTTAAATATATCACATGACTGATTTGAGTCTCATAGCAACACATTTCTCTTTGCATTCATTTAATTCAAGTCTAATCTAATCTGCAGTCAGACAGCTAGTCAAGGGCACAAGTGATCCTAATGTTCTTGCTGTATTGTCTTTTTCCTTATACTCTATAATAAATAGCTCAAAGAATGTTGATATTTTGTAATTAAAAATGAATTAAATGTAATAAGGTGAAGCTTCCATTCCCAGTGAACATCCCAGCTGACAATCTCTGTTATATACCTGCAATCTGGAGGATGAGGATTTTGGTGTTTGAATACTGCATTATCAAGCTTTTTTTTCCCACCCTCTGCATCTGAATTAAAGCAGGTTTCAAGTGGCAGGACTGGCAAGTGTGAATAATTATTTAGCAGGAGTTAAGTGGCTGTCAGTCCCCCTTGCTCGGGTCACAGAACTCCTTTTAGGTATGGCTTGGTCAGGCATTCAGGACACAAATAGCCAGGATTGTTGCAAGTCAGGATGGGAGCATGTTGGCAGCAGCCACACACAGAGCTATGCTTGGCTCCTGCTGGTGTTGTTAACACCTGTGAAAGTGCACATTACCTTATCAAACAAAATAACAGCATTGGAAGTAGTCCTGGCCTTTTAATTATGGTAATGCTCCCAGGTGCCATAGTGACATTGATGCTGTTATGTTTGAAGTGTGCAAAGAGTGACTGAATCCCCAGAACATACTGAGATTTAGGCAAGCTCATGAATACAGTTTTCAAGCAGTTTACAGGGTTTTTTTTCCCGGAGTCCAGTGTTTGCAGAGATGATTCCAAGATTCTGGCACCCATAAACCAGCAAACAGTGGTTTCAATTTAAAGTTGTTATCCTGAATAATCCATATTCATACTCTTTCCGTGCACCAAGAAATATTAAATGTATCACATGAATGATTTGAGTTTCATAGCAAACTGACAAATGGGTGCAATTAGAGAGAGAGGCACACCCACACATACACAATGGACCAGATTTTGGAAAGTACAGTACATACTGTGCTAAGTCATGCACACTCTTTGCCTGTACCTAAACTTACATGACAGCATTTGCAATATTCATATGGAAATCGTCATTTCTATGCATGTAGAGCTGTTTGAGCACAGTAATTTTGTGTTTATGTGTCACATCATGTAGTCTAAGACCAAAAGCTTGAGAGCTGCATTTTGATTTTAGCTTTGCCTTCAACTTAACTACCTTGTGCCAATTATCCACCCTCCCTGTGCCTCGCAGATAAACTGCCCAGGCACTGCCCTAATGCTTTGATACTCCCTGTACCCCGAGGCTTAATTCATTGTTTGCAAAACACCACAAGTGCTCAGCTGGAGGATGCTGTAAGAAGTGCAAGTTGTATTTGTTTTCATTTGATGTGTCTGGACTTTCATAACACCGTTTGTCTGCGTGTAGCTGTTCAAAGCCAGGTTATGGACTAACCACAGCAAGTCAGCATTAAGGGCTTTGCTAAGCTTCAGTAGCTTGATTTCTTTTAAATTAACATTACTTATGGATAATATTAGAGTATTATATATGTTTCAGTGCCTTGAAGTTGAGGATTGAGAGGGTGTTGAGCTGAGTTTATACCCTGCATGTCAATAAAACATATCGTAAGTGCATCTGATACATGAAATACTTCTGGTGAGCTTTGCAGTACAAACAGCTACAGGGCTTGTTTGTTTTTTAGGTTAAACTTGAAGATTCCTGTGTGTGTTTTGTCCCCCTCTACCGAAATAATCCTACTTGCAAACTGTTGCTGTTAACTGATCCAAAGGATAAAGAGACAGGTTAGAATTGGTCAAAATATTTTGAAATTTGAGTAGCTGTACTTTCTTTACTTTTAAGATGATCTGTTTGTTTATATATTTAAATATTCTGGGTTTTGTTTTGAATGTGAAGTGGATTCAGTTTACCTGTCAAGGATTTGTGATGATGAGCTGCTGATTAGAAGGAAAAATTGACAATCAGAGCTTTTAAATTCTGTGCATAAATTCTCTGCTGGTAGGAGAAAAATCACCTTGGAAAAATCTGTTACTCTTTCTGACTTTATTCGATTGGGGTAATATTTTTCTAATTCAGGATGATGTACATTATGGTTTGGATAGAATTCTGAAATCCTTAAGCAATAAAATACAGCTATGAAATTGTATTGCTTCTTACTCATTCTTATTTGTATATTTTTATTTTTATTTATGATATTGTCTTCAGTCCTAGGTTTAATTGCCTTTTATTTGCAGTATTGGTGTGTGAGGAGAGTATCTACTGGTGCATAGATTAGATGAGGAGTGTTGGAGCTGTTGTGGAGCAGTGGGCTGTGGAATTTTTGGAACATCTACAATGGAGACATGAACCTTTGCATTGACCCGTTGTGTCGCTTAGGAAATGCAGAACACATGAAGCTTCTTAAACTTTCGGCTTCCAAATGTGGCAGCAAACTAATGACATCTGTCTTTAAAAGTATACTTTCTTTTTAAAGGATAAGCCATAAATTATGCCTGAAAGGCCTTACTAGCCAGTATTCTTAATAATAGAACAAAGTCAAGGCACAAAGTTTGGCGCTCTTGTTCAGTTCTGAAGTGTGTCAGGTAACGATCTTGCACTCCCAGAACAGGTTCTGTTACTCTAAGTAAGTGTTCATTGTTCAGTCCAAACCCCATAACCAGGAAATCTCTTCAGAAGAACAAAAAGCAGATTAAAATCATCTGTGGTTGGAGGTGAACTCTGCAGTTTCCCAGCTCCTACATACGATTCCAATTGGACATTTGCTAATGGGTTATGATTCACACAGTTGAAGGTAGGAGACCTTCCCAAGTTACAAATGTAGTCAAAAGACTTTCTGGTCCCTCTAAAACTGTTGATGTTGGCTTCCTTTCCTACCATTAATTTATATATTCCATTAATATTTTCCTGAAGAGACATACAGGCACTGGTGTGATAAAGGAGAGAAGTGTCTACACTGGAGGCCAGACTTGCTCTGAGTGCAGTTGTTCACACCTCCTGACTCATATTCAAAGGAATGTAGTTGAAAACAGCAGTGAGTTAGTTCAGGCTGCACAAGAGGAATTGGGATCTGTAACTACAAGGCAAAAATAAAGAATTATTAAATAAATGCAGGTGAAAGTGCATTTAGCACAGCTCTTCAATTAAATGATCTCATAGTATTAGGAACAACAAGTATTAATGAGATACATGCACACAAGGAAAATGATTTCTCACAGGAACAAGTCAAACAAGTCCATGTTGGAGCCTAAATTACATGAGAGCTGTCCTCATTAAAAGCTTAAACCTGGCAGAATAAACACCTTATTATATTATAAACAACAACCTGACTGACTGCTGTGACCACCTTGCAAAGCTTCAGCTTAAGTTACCAGCCCATAGTCACAGAAACAGAGAGTTCAGTAAGGTCTAATTATTTAAATAAGGCCTACATCACTTGGCTTTTAATATTTCCTTCTAAAAGTATGATTTAAAGGATTTTACTGGAAGTTCTTTGTTTCTGGATTTTATGTGCTGTAAACATGTGGCCAGCCTTCCTACACACATCAAATTCCATGTGATTTTTGTTTTTGTTAGATGATTTTTAATCTATTTCCGTGAGTTCTCTAAAGCCTGCTGAGGTGTGTGTGTATGTTGATCTCTTCTCTTTCTCTACCTGTCCACTGCCTCTGCATTTTAGTTTTCTTTCATAGCAGGGGTGCTTCTAGAAGCAGATTTCCTGGTTGTCCCCACGTACGGTGTTTCAGTTTGATGGCATTTAATTCTTGAACATGGGTTAAAGAGGGGTGTATTCCACCACTGAGCTTTATATCTGATGATCTTGATCACATGGGTTGTCCAGAAGTTGATGTGTAGCTTGTGGTCTGAAATGATCTGCATATTTCAAAGAGAAAATGGGTATGGCAGCTTTTCCATAGGACTTGGTCTTGGTTGGAAGCATTTTTAATTTATTTTTGATGGGCTGAGTGCTGTGTTCTGTTAGTATATCTGTATAGAAATTTTTATGAGAATGTAAATTGTATTGTAAGAGCCTACAGAGCATAACATGGGTGATTAACATCTTTATAACACTAAATAAACATACCTTATTGTGGCATTTTCTGTGTGCTGTATATAATAATTCACAATAACTGTTAGATGCCTTGGAACATTTATCACAAGACATTTGCCACAAATCACTGAGTAAAACTTGAATTATAGAAGGTGACGTAGCTGGTTGCAGGAAAGATAATCTGAGGTACTTGAGTGGCTGCCATTCCTGCAGCATCTGCCTGCCTCCCAAGCTTTAGCATATTTATTTAGACAAAAACTCTTAGGAAAGAGAGGAAAATGCTCTTATTGCATTTTAAAGACAGGACCCAGCTGCAGAACACGGTTTGATGTAGGATCTGTGAGCTTGCTCCAGTATCAGAGCTCACCTAGGCCTGGTTTTATGGAACTGCTTGTTGGGGTGATTTACCATCCTCCTTCCAATGTGGAAATCTGGCAAAACCAACTTCTGTAAGTGTGCCATCAATTTGAAATACTGTCAGAATTAAGGTAAAGATGACTTTATCTAAGATAAAGAAGTGGTAAATTCTATATTTATTAAACTCAAAATTACATCTCTCCTATATATCGTTGCCTTTATTTAGTTTGAGACTGAGGGATGTGTTTCAGCAGTTCAGAAAAGGCAGGGGAAAAAGGAGGACCAAGCTGGATGTTGCTTTATTTTTATTTCTTTACTCTCTCTGTAGAGTCCTGATGTGCACATCTCATTCAAATAGTTGCACACCAGTGTGGGAACATTTGGAAGTAAAAATATAATCCAGGCCTGAGTTGGGAAGGGATCCATGTTTGCCTAGCTAAAGGAGACATTTCATAATCACAATTGCATTATTCTCAGTGCCTAATTCAGCTCAGTACTGGGTTCCAAATACCCCTGTGCTGTGGAATCGTGTGCATCTTGCAACACTGAGTATGTTTGTCTGACTGCAAGTGATGAAAGTACTGAGGTTTAGCAAGCTGGGGCTTACAGGGCAAACCACCCACCTGAGCATGTATAAACTCCATTAATTGTGACCTGAAATGCTTTGGACTTGATCCACTTCACCTGGTCTTGCAAGTGCAAGATCAAACACATCGAGTCTTACAGTTGCAAGGTCATTGTAATCATGTACATGGTGATTCACAGGGTTCAGGTGATGTGTGTTGGCAACAACTCAATCTCTCATGATCAGGTGAACGTAACCCAATGTCTTGGAAAGAACAGCAGGACTGGGAAAAGAGAAGGAACATGTGGTCTCACAAATCATGTTCGCATTTGAAATAGTGCTCCTCCAAGTTGATTATAAAATGAAAATGAGAGTATGGGGAAGCATGGATGGATTTAACTGCAGACCAGATGTTGACTTGAAAAATGATAACAAAAAGCGAAGTACATATGTTTGTGTGAAATCTGGAGAAATGTTTTTCCTTCAAGGAAGGCATCCATATAGATAAGGTTGCTCAAGTAATGTGATGTGACAGTTGCTATGTCAACTAGTGTTCCCTTCCATACATTTAAATTATTGAATAGCACAGTAAATGTTCTATAAAAGTAACTCCTTCCAACATGGTTATGCATCTTCCTATTTTCCTCAAAGCCTTTTTAAACTTCTCTGACCTTTACTGTGTGTCTTGTATGTCTGAGCTGTGTGCCAAACCTCTGTGCAGCTCTCATTAAAGTCAGCATTTGGCCTGTAATGTCCCCTTTGTGTGACTCAGCTCCCTTTGTAGCTGCATGTTTCATGGATGTGTAATGGAGCAGTGGCTGCTGCATTTGAAAGCAGAGGGAAGGGTTTGAGGGAACAGATTGAATCCATCACACAAAGGGTATGAAACTCCCATGCAAGTAAGTGCATAATATTTAATGAATTGAATCTGGTGCTATAAACAGGCATCTGCCCTTGCGTGCAGTGCTCCTTCCTTGTTAACCCAGTGCACAAAGTGTGATGCTTTCTGGCACATGCTTTAATAATTTATTTGGAATATAAGTTAGCTAAGCCTTAAAGCCAGTGGGAGCAATAGAGGCTGAAGCAAAAAAAGGAAACCAACCTGTGTGCATTGGTGACATTTGTATAACCTGGGGCTAAAACAGGTAAATGATGAACCCTGTCCTCAAAGTCACTTCACTTCCTTGTGTGTGAATTTGTCCCTAGCTCATAGATGGGTTTGAACTTTCTTGTGTTTGTCCCTTGTTGGGTGGGTTAGAGAACCAGTTGATGGAGCTCTCTTAGGACTCAAGAGGTGTGAGCCCTGTGCTGTTCTTGGCCACATACTTCCTGTATTATATATTATCTTTTTATCTAAAGATGGGCGTGCTAGCTGCCCGATTTGATCATAGTAAAGATACTGGTGTTCTTGAGCAATCCTGAAACTGTGGCCATGTGCTTTCGTGAGGTGAATGTCACCACTGTGCAGACAATAAACGTTCTTCTTGCTGAAATATTTTCTTTGACGTGTTTGTGGTCATAAATGATGAGACTTCTGTGTTTATTCTAAAACCTCATCTAAACCCTTAAAATCTTTTCTCTGTCCTTTGAAATGACCCCGTGTCAAAACTTTTCTTTCTTAACAAGGCTTGGGAGCAATTTCAGTGTCGCTGTTGCTGCTTCAGTATTTTTCTGGTAAATCTATTGGCAGGCAACAAATTCTGTAGATGAACATGTAGGAGTAGGGTTTAAGTACTTGTTCCTGCATATGTGAAAAATTGAGGAAGGATGAGAAGTGGGGTGCAAGTTTTGCATGGCAGCTACGTGAGGACTTGACTTACGTAGGTTGATCATACACTTTTGCTTCAGGGCAAAGTGTATCTTATTTATGTGTGTATTTGTCTGTCCTTTGTTGATAGAAACCTCTCTATGCATTTTGAAACTCTGTGAATATCTGTCTGTGATTTAGGAGTCTGTACTCCAGAGGTACAGAGAGAGAGAAATTCAGTCACATAGAGAGCTGTTTGATAAAACAGATATGAGAACTTTCGTGTTTGACTTGCATGAGTGCAAATGCGGGCACTCAAATATATGCAAATATATGTGTGTGGGCAGGGGAAGGTCTGAAAGAACCTTCAAAACAGTAACCTTTAGCCAGGTAGCTCCTCTGTCCCAAATGCCACTCAAACCTACTCTGCTACTGAACTTATTATTATGCAGGAAGTGCTTTGTTCATGTGGCACGCACGTTGTCACGCTGAAGTCACATCAATTCCTGAGAAAAATTACCTTCCCTTCATGCTTTGTGTGGTACTGAAAACTGGGAGCAAGGGATGTGGAGGAGAAACTGAAATACAATTGTTCTGCTGTCTCACAGCAGATCAAACTGGAGTCAGCTGGAAGGAGGAGTAGATCTGAGGCTGCTGGTGGAAAGGTTCAGAACCTACTTTGTATTTGCAGGTAACGTGTTCCCCTGTTTTTTTTCTTGTTGTAGTCTTGGCAGTTTATTTGGGCCGGCGTTGGTGGCCTCTTGAAGAGGTGGTGAAGACGGCTGATCCTGCTAGAGATGGGCTCCTTTTGGTGAGGATGCTGTTTTAAACAGTTGCCTTTGCCCTGGAACTTCCCAGCCAGAACAATCTTATGTAATTGTCTCTGGCCTCCTGCAGCTCCTGCTGTAGGACCTGTGGGATCTGGGCTCTGTGGCTCACCAGGTACTTCATGTCTCCATTACAGTGACATGCACCTTTAACCCTCTCCAAACAATTTTCTGCATGCAGTTTATGAGTCACCTGTGGGATTTATTTTCTTCTGTTTTTTTTAGTTTACTCTCACTGCCTACTAAAGGAATAATTAGATAAAGTGAATTACTGCATTAGCAATAATTTCACATGTTATTGTTGCTTGACTGACTGTCTGGTGGGAGGTGTTACTACCCTTTGGAGCAATGTCTTATCTAGCTAGTTAGGATTTTTTTTCCTTGGATAACGTTGATACATTTTATGAAATGGTTGTTATTTAATAGTTTCTGTATCAATAATTCTTTTTCCAAATAAATTATTATAAGAGGATAGAGCTACTTTTTCATAATTCGAAGGATTTGGGTAGCCTATTTTCAGCTGAAAGTCAGATGCCTACTGCATGTGAGCTTTGTGTTGCCATGAGGTTATTAAGTCAGTTTTGTTTCATACCCAACCCTCTGTATCTTTGGTCCTGAATGATTCCATTTCTTGATCATCTTTCCCTAATATCTGTCACACATGGAGTTTAATTACTCACAGAATTAAATCGGCTTTTTATGGGTAACTGAACTGGAGGGATTTTGGGATCCAAATCCTTGCAAGATAGAACTTGGAGCACAAACACAGGCCTTGAAGCTTTAAGCATCTGCTGTATCAACAGAGAATGAAAATAGTATCTGAAAATAGAAACCTTGCCCCTTCTAACTCATTGCTAAGAGGTAAATTGTCATTATTTGGGAGAACTCTCATTTTCTTTTTCAGCATTCATGTGAAGCTTCTTGGCACCAGTTTTTACCTTGATGGCCAATGTGATCTTGTTCCTTTATATTCTTCATCTCCCTGTCCTGTTGGTTGTCTTGGAGGAAACACAGCACAGACTAATTGTTCGTGTTACAGCTGGATTATATGATATTTGGGACAGACTATTCATCTTCTGTTTTGTTTAGTGTCTACGTGGCCCACTAAAGCTCTTTGATGCTGTGGCAAGACAGGTAATGGGGAGAGGTGACCAGGCCAACACAGTGAATCCTATCTTTATTCCACTTTTGGATAGGATTAGATTGCCTTGATCCCAGTTCCAAATCTGTGACTGGTTTGCTGTGACTACAGTCAAGTTACTCCTGCTGCTTTAGAATTCCTCTCTGTGACAACAGGAGATATGTCAAGCCTTATAAATAAATAGTTACTAAATTATTCTATGCCCTCTGGATAGAGGGTGAAACACTGGGAAAAACTGTTTTTGTTATTCCAGCTGAACCAATTCATGAGGTATTTTCCCCAAATTAAGTGTACATGTTTCCTGACCTCCTCCTTCCCAGCCTCTTTTGATTTTGAAACCTTTTTTATGAGATGCAAAATACTGTTCTCTGCCTCATTTTTCTTTGGTCTGTTTTTGTTTGTTCTCTAAGGTCCAGACATTTGCAGAAAGGATTGTCCTCTTTGTTCTGAACTACATTATTTTTGGAATGCTGGAAGGGAGTTCAGCTAATGATGCATTCTTTCTACCTCACTCTGCCACCGAGTGTGCCAAGATACTCTGGAGGAACGGCGAGGCTGTTGCCTTTTACTCGGTCAAGATGAAAGGTAAGGTCATTTCAGAGACACATTTCCATTGGTTCCTAATAGCTCCAAATGTAATCCTTTTGTTTATCTTTCAGTATAAATAATCCTGACTCTCATTTACATTTTTATATGAAATCTCTCTCAGAATTAATCTGGGGAACAAACCCTCCCAGAATTTGGAAGCCATCCATGTGACTTTCATTTAAACACGATGGTTCCAAAGCCTCTCCTCAGTTATGCTGAGCAATCCGAGGCAGTGGCTTATCCCAGTAAAATGGGCTTTAATGCAGCCAAGTAGAAGGTCATACATCTAGGAACAAAGAATGTAGGGCCTATCCACAGAATGGAGGGCTGCATCCTGGAAAGAACGATCTGTGGAAAAACAGTGTATTGAGAGTGGGTGGTGGAAAGAAGTGGAAGGCTCCTTGGATGTGTAAGGAGCAGTGGCTGGATTGTGTAGAGGAAGGTGTGTGCACTAGATCAGTCTGGAATGCTTTGTCCAGTTGTACTCCCATTTTAAAGGATGGTGATTAATTAATTTCATGATTGATGAACTAGCATAGAAAAGAAACAAAATTTTAGTTCATTAATGATACTTGATGAGCTTTAGTGAAGGTGTTTTATTAAACAGAGGGTTTCTATTGGTGCAGGTACATTGCTGTTAACGAGGCTGGAGTGGAAGAGGCTTCATTAGAATAACTCCAGATATGCAGTTGAGTGTGTGCCCCCATGTAGGAGCTGGTTACCAGTGTGTGTTTGATTCATCTTGATACCAGCAGCTTAAATCCAGAGAAGGTGGAATCTTTGGAAGTAAAATGTGTTGTCCAAGTCAGTGCTCAGTAGCCATCCATCCAAAATGGGAGAATAAGAAACAGCTTCAGAGCTGCACAGAGATGGTTTGCTTTGGATTCCAGAGGAATCCAGAGAGATGGTTACCAGTGTGAAGGTATCTTCTCTTCTAGATCCCAAAGGCCAGCAGCAATAAGATGTTCTGCTCTTCAGCTGCCTTGGGATGGAGAAATCCTTATTGACAGAAAGGTGTGGCTTGTACAGCACCATGGCTGTACAGTGCTGCTGTACCATCAGTGATGAATCAGAGCTCAGCCCATGATAAAGGAGCCTTGGCTGTATCTGTGGTCATGCTGATGAACTGGTTTGTAATGGCAAACACTTCATTGCCATAGTACATTTTCCTTTAAGTCAATAAATATTCCTGAGCAAAGCTTTTGGAAAGAAACACTTGTATAGGCTGTAATGATTCATACTTCAGTAAAATAAATGTGCACAGTAGTCTGTTATGGGTGGAGTATTAGCCAAGTTGAAACTGTTTCTGAGTAAGTTGAGAGTCACAGTTTGGTTTTAAATCAGGTCCACATAAAATACAAATCCTTCAAGTCCAGCTTTGTCAGCATCTGCCTTTTCTTGCCAGTGTTTTTTTTTCTCTGGGCAGATATATTTGTTAGTTTTTGGCTTGTGTCACAAATTACTGCAGTCTTTTGCCAGAGCCTTTTCGGGAAGCTTGAAACTGATTGTTTTTGCTGCTTTTTGCAATTTGATGTACGCATTTAGAAAATAATTCCTCTTCTGAAGTTCTGTGATTTCAGTTTCATACCAGCCATGCTCTGGCTGATCCCATTCTCTTGACTTTTTAGAAGAGCCCTGGATTTATTAGGCCCAAAAGAGACTAAGATAAATGTCTTCACTTAGAAGTTGTATTTCACATGATTGGTTTTAAATGTTTGTTGTTTTTTTTTTTAATTTTTTTTTTTTAATCACAGTGTAATTTCTTTTTGTTTTTACTGTCCTGGTCAGAACATTTAGCAGGGGTGGGTTTAACTACAGGACTTTTTATTGTGCTGGGCCTCTCTTACAGCTTCTGATCCTAGGAAGAAATTATTTACCTCTGTGCCCACCATGTGATTCTGATTCCCTTTATTCTTATGCTTTGCAATTACCTGACCATTCTTTGTGGGTTTACGTTCTTAGTAATTGAGACTCTCATATTGATGTCATCTTCAACTGTATTTCTCATCTGTGAATTTTCCATTATCTACAGCATGACAAAAACATGCTTCAGTGGAGCCAAATAAGGCAGAACTGCTCTGTGGAGCCTGGCTGTTTGAAACATAAGTCTTCTGGGTGAATCATAAAAATGGTGACCAAGGAGGAGAGTCTGTTCTATCTTTACGACAGATTTAATGTGCCGTTATGCAAACTAAATTTTCAATGGACTTCAGTGATTCCAATTAACTGTCTTGGCACTATTGTAAAGTCATTTCCATTTGCCAGTTCCTAGGTGGCCTGTACAAAGTGAACTTGGTAATTTTGCTCCAGTGCCCTGCTCTCATCCATCTTATGAACATCCTTAACTGGGTCTCTTTTTTAATAGTCCAGCTAAGGAGGGACAGATGGTCTTGAGCACCCGTCTTGCTCAGAGATGCAGTAAGTGCAAGTCAAGGTTTTGAGACAGTTTGGCACCTACTGGCACTGGCCATCCTGCACCTGTTGTGTAGAATAACAGAAGACTCATTCTTCAAGGCTATCACTTTTCCTGAGCATTAGACACCTTTATTAAAGCAAAATTTATTCATGACTACACAGATCATCAACTTACCCTCTCTGGTATGTGCCTATTCCTGTCCTATGACAGGCATGCAGCATTTACCACTGGGTATATAAAGATTGATGAGATGTACTAAGCCACTAATGAGGCTGATAAGACACTTTGTCACGTGCCAAGATAAATGTCTCCAGTTTTATCTATGTCAGCAGCCTCCATTTCAGACAGCTGAGGAGTTAGACCTCACTAAATGTAACTACTTAAAGGTACAACAGGAAATGACAGTTCCCTGCTCCTGTACCTTTCTCTGCAGACACCAACATGAAAATTGAAATATTTTGCAGAAAGCCTTCCTATAGATTCTCGTGTTTTCAGATCTCGTGTTTACAGTATTTACTTCACACTCTAAATCTGTGTGAAAACCCCAAAAGAATGTGTTTTTTGTAGTGATGTAGGATTAATTGCCACGGTTACTGACACTGCTTTTGTGCAGTGAGACCATGTAATTCCCTGGAAGTTTTTCTTTTTTTATTTACTGAGGACTAGCAATTACTGAAAGTGGACTTTTATACCACTTTCACATAAATGCCAGGAGAATGTAGAATATTCATGGTACAAATAAATCACTGAGGAAGTTGGAGGGTGCAATGAGCCAGGAATGTCTTAGTCCCTTTAAGAGCAAAACAGAACAAAATTCCTTTTTTATGTACATCCTTTTTCCCCTACTGTTAAATATATTACTGTTTCTTTAACACACAGGAGCTGCCCAGCTGTGGATCAAGCAAAGGAGTCAGGTTGTCAAAGCTTGTCCCTTCCCTCCTGACAAACCTTAGCAGTAAAAGTGTGGAGAAGGATGGTGTTCCCTGTGATGTGAATCAAACCAGCCTTAACCAAATTGAGTCCTCTGAGAAGACTGTAAAACATGCACTTGAATCAGGAGTAAATGCATTCTTGGCTTCTCATTCATTCTTTAGAGATGCTCCACAAGGCACAGTTTGGGAAAACCTGACTGCAAAAACTTTTAAGCTGACATAGAGTCGGCAGCAAAGCAACCCTGCCTCAATCTCTGCTTTTCCCTGCCCCAGAGCCTTAGAGATGGTCTTTGGAAGTGGCTCCCCAGGCAAAAATCCATTTCACACCTTTCTTCATACGAGCCTTTGCAGATTTCTTTTGATACTTTGGTGGCTCAGGTGCTTTCTCTAGAAGTAGATTTTTAAAAAGATAACAGGATTTTATTTTTCACTGATTACATACATTTCTTTTAGAAAAAAAATGAAGCAGAATTGAAGTTAACCTGACAGAGAATTAGCTGGAATCTTGTTGGATAATTGCTTTTGTCTCCCTCTGTTTGCTAGCAATAATATTTTTAATGTGCATTTCTGAGGCAGATTGGAGGTTCTGGCTGTAATAAAAATGAAATGACTACATACCAGTCAAGACATGAATTCATTTAATTTTATTGAAGCCAGAACCTTTGTTCCCCTTCTCACATACAAACTCACACAATGGGCTGACCTTGGGTTCTACTCTGCAGGAATATTCCCCACCCTTTGCACAAGCACCCGGCCTGCTCGGGGCCTGTCCAAACATGTGTGTGCCAAGCCAGCTTGTTCAGCAGGGAAACAGTCAGTGTGCACAACCTTGTTTTGTTTGGGTCTGTTGGATGTGGGGACCAGATTGCTGGTTTTTTTCTGGTTTGTGGCTCTTTGGGAATGCTGATGGCCGTCTGCTTCCCTGCCCGTGTAATATCTGTTTGCCATTTCGCTGGCTCCGGAGTTGGTCATTTGGCACTCGTGACCTGACCAAAGAGATCAAAAGCTTTCAGAGGGCAGGCTGCATGAACGCTTCCATCTCCATCAGCAGTGCCCTTGTTTCCCCTGTCTCCTGCCTCACCTCAAAACTGTGTTTGTTTGTGTGTTCCAACAAAGAAACAAACCTCTCAACCAGATGTGTGAGAGCCCAGTGGTCACCTCCGGGCCACCATCAGCTTACAGTAACCTCTGTCCATTGGATGGGAGCTGGGGACAAAGTGGCCTTTGTTCCAAAGGTTGGTTTGTTTGTTTATTTTATTTCAAATGCCTGTGGGCTATGACTCTCCTAATATGTTTCCCAGGGACAAGGTGAGGAATGGCTTCATGGTTTCTTTTATTTACAGTGCCTTTAGACATGACAAGTTTTTGTCATCTTCTCAACACAAAATTAGGAGCACAGACATAAATCACGCGGCTCCTGGGATTGCTGCACAGCAGTCTCGGCAGGATTTATAGGAGACAGATTATATGAGATAATAATAAACTTATAAGGACACTTGCAACGTGTAGGAATCCTTAAAGAGTTCATGAGGAAAAGTTTATGCCTTTCTTAGAACGTATGGTGCAACTCTGCTGGGATCCAACATCTCTGTTGGGTTGGCAGCTAACAATGGGACCAGGGATATACTCAATTTTTTGGCTCACGAAGAAAAAGCGTAACTACCCATCATGTGTTACAAATATTGGAAGGTTATAAACACCACCACAAACCAGCCTTTTCCAACAATGTGCTGAAACATGTGTTTGAAGTTAAGCATGCACTTTGATTAAGCAGGAGTGAACAAAGCCTGGATGTGAATGGGTGGTTATGTAGCTACATACTCTTTTTGTATGGCTCAGATGTGCATTGTTGCTTAATGAACAGCTACAACCTTGACAAATCAGTGTCTAGAATTAAATATAATCATGTATTCTGTGCTGAATTGGCATCCTAGAAAATAAAATAATCAAATTCAGGCCTGGTGAGTAGAACTGATGTGTATCCAGATAGAAGCATCATAAAATTTTCATAAATATTTTCTAAAAATGAAAATAAATGAGTGAGATGTTTCTATACTGACTTTATCCTATATGTAGGTAGTTAGTGAACTGATGTTGGTCATTCAGTTCAGGATTGAGTGTTTATGCTACAAAGTAGTTGAAGGTTCTGTTTTTATGGTATTCTGCACAGAGACCAAGGGAGCCTTTCTTGTAGGAATGATTAACTTAAAAAGGATTGGGAATTTTCTCTGGAAGGCTTCTTCTCTGTCCAGCTGCATTAGGCAGGATGGACCTTCTGAGCATTTAGTTCATGCTCTGTTGTGTGTTCAGTGTATTTCGTAAAAAGAGTTTGTGGGATGATTTACCAAAATAACCAAAAGCTAAAGGAGTATACTGACATTGCATTCAGGATATTGATATCTCTTTGGCTGTAGCTCAGTTATATCTTTACAGTGAGCTTTTCTGTGTACCTGGATGGTCTGATTCTGAAGAACCAGAGTCTGAAAAGTACTCTGGTGAGACCTGTCAGCCAATGTTAGGCAGGTCCTCTCTGTTTGAGGGCACAAATCTTCCTCTTGGAAAGTGTTTTACTGTCTGTGCAAATGCAGTTCTGTTGGGATCATCCTCCCAGCCTGTGGAGGGGTACCAGGGCAATATCTGTGGCTAGAATCACACAGCAGTTACCAGTTTTGTTACCAAATTCGTGGTTTTTTACCTTTCTGCTTTCAGGGAGCCTGTGTGATGGTACAACCAGTCAGTGTTACTTGCTGCCAGTCTTGGATACTATATTTGTCCGGAGAAAGTGCAGAAGAGGTGGCCTAGGGATGAAAATGCTGCATGATTTCTGTCAGTCTTTCCTGGCTGAGGATGCCTTGGGGATCAGCTGCCCTATTTCTGCTGCCATGTATCAAGGTAAATGGTTTGATGTGGACACGTTAGGTAAGGGTCATGTATAATGTATAATTTTCAATATGGTCTGGGTAAGATTGTCTTCACTGTGTAAGAGTTCAGTGCCCTTGTCTGAACCGAGCTGTTGTTAGTGTGCAACTGGTTACTTTTCCAGAGGCATCTGGAATTTCCTGTAGAAAGGTAGGCCAATATTTATGTAAGACAATGAGAAGCATAAAATTCATACTGCCTGTTTGACATTTTGTGTTCTTATCTCACTCTCTTAGAACTATGTCATTGCCCTAGACAGGGACTTACACATTTTATTTGACACCAGAGGGAAAAGAATCATAAGATGTCAAGCCCACACTGTGCACATAATGCTCTAGTAGATCCTGCATTTGTAAGAAATTACATTTAATAAGCCAAATACCCAGGCTCTGCTCAGTCATCCAGTCACATCAGTACTTGTGTTGTATTGACTGTCTTTGAACATTTGTCACTTTTAAAAGATCACAAAGTAGTTACATATCTTCTCTGTGTTTAGGTCAAAGTTCTACTTTTGCTAGCACAATTCATGGAAAGTATCTGTGCTCACATTATTTATAAAACTCTTTTATTTAGAAAAATATTTCTTTACTGAAGTTGCTTTCTGTGGTCTTTACTAAATTTTTGGGGAGATGCTTTGATTGACTTACAACTTTACAGCCATTTCCTAACAAGTATCAACAACATTTTGGCTCTACTTGTTTTTCTCTTGGTTATCATGTACCATTGAAAGTATACAAATGTACTTCAGCAGGTACTTCTACTTCTAAATTCAGGAAGGGATAGTATTGACATTCCTTCTCTTCTCTCAGTAATATCCATTTTTCCTATGGCAGATGTCAGAGCTTTAGGCACTATGGATGAGAAAGCTGCATTTTTTATTTGTTAACACGAGCTTTCGTCTCAAGTTTAGAGCTAATAGGGAATAAATCTGACTTGCATCATGTTTTGATTAGGTTTTCTTTTATAAAAATACCAATATTGTAAGTTAATTTTTGAGCATATTGAAGTCACTGTCTGTTTTTAGTTTCATTGGAACCACATTGTCATACTTGGATAAGTGAATGCAACCTTTTACTCTAAATCTCTGCACTAAGATCTCTGAAATTGGACAGTTTTCACCAGCTTGGTATTTAAGGTGCTGTAGAAACCTAAAAGGAAGTAAAAAGCCATTTAGCAGATACCTGTATTTTGGTATATATGTTACTTTCAGTAGCTTTTATTGGAATGATTAATTTAGTTGGGATATCCTTGGATAAAATTAATGCCCACAAGCTGCTCATTACTGTAAGGCAAATGTTTACATACATTAGGGTCTTGTTTTGCCATCCCATTGTTAAACTCAACTGAATACTGAAGATCAACTACCCATTTGTATTATGGGGAACTACAGTGGACAGAGTGTGACAATAATTTTGTTGTTTATAGATTGCTGTCTTAGTGCAGTTGATGGAAGTGATGAGATGATGGTTGAGGAAAATTTAAAAATCCCCTTTGAACTTTTGGAACTGTTTTTCCTACAGCAGGACATGTGCAGATGCTGCAGACATCTTAAGGAAAAGCCACATATTTCAGTTTGATAACTGAAGCAAACCTAACTTTGATTGTTTACCCAAATTATATTGATGACCGGTGCTCATCAGTGTACATGATTTCAAGTCCTGTCTTTCTGCACTCAGAAGGAGATAATCTAGACTGAAGCAGAGGGACAGGATTCACTCCTGCCTGTTCAGGCCATTCCACATAGACTTTTACTAAAACCCCAACTAAAACATAGAGGAGGAAATGAGAAAAGATTTCCAAAGGAACTAATGAAAATTGGTCTGAGAGAATTTCTGGGATAGAATACTCTTCCTCTTCCCCTGTACTTTGCACTCATTCATACTTTTACCCCTTGGTTTCTCCTATTCAGTTTGCCAGAAATTCCTGCAGGTTTATCCCGAGGAGCAGAAGCGACTGTGGGAGGTGGAAGCACCGGGAGATTGGAGCCAACGAGTGAATATCTGGTTAAAAATTCAGATGGAGTTATTCCCTTCAGGAAGTGAGTTAAAACAAGCAGTCGTGAACTTGGCCATGGTAGTTACAGTTCTGTAAAGATAGGCATGTATGTAATCAAGGGTTGGGTGGTGATCATGGAAAGGTGGTGTCTCTGTTGGAGAAACTACTGAGTGTGCAGTCCAGCTCCCTCATCCTTTCACATTAAACAGGATAATTCTTAGAAATTATGAGGTAATGAAATGGAACCACAGAGCATCTGAGAGATACTGAACAAAGCACAGTCTTGGCATGAAGTGGCTGTAACTCCCATTGCAGTGCACTCAGAGCAGGGTAGAAGTTAGCCCCAAAAATTCCTGTTGCACAACACGGTGTCTGGGTTATAGACAGGGGTTTGTTTCTCTGAAATTGTTGCAAAAAAGAAATTTGTATGGCCAATGGGCAGTATATTTAATTACCTTCAACTGCTGCCAATACCATTCTTGGATGGGAACACAAACATTTTCATTATGGCTTTTGGAAGATTCCAAGTACTCTCCTACAGGGTAAATCCTTCGTGCTGGGAGAATTTTCTGCCTACTTCACAAAAGATAGCAACAGAGTAGGGAAACTTTTTGACAGTTCCTATGTGGATCTCATTGATATAATCTGTTCAGCTGGCTGGAGGCTCCAGACAGGCCCCTCTGCTGCATGCACACAAGCTGTGGTAAGCACTGGATTCCAAAAGAAGGGCACACACTGTCTCTTTCTGGAAGTGCAGCAAGGAGGGCTCCAGAGCAAATTGCTCCCATGCCTTCCCACATCCATCCTGCTTCGTGTTGGCTCGGGGACCTTCCGCTGAGACACTGCGTTTCATCTTGGCTGCAGCACCCACAGGAGAGTTAAGTCAGACTTTAGCCCTAGGCTGGGTTCCTCTGAAGCCAGTATATCTGTGTTCCTCATGCTTTAAATCACCAAAACCTGGGGTTGCTCTTTCCTTTAATCCCTCTTGCTAAGTGAAGTTTATTAATGGCAATTGAAGAGAACTGTGATCAGATCAAAACCCAGCGGATCCTGGAGGCGAGTATACTTTTCTTTTTTCTTTCTTCTTTTTGCCATCTTCTACAAAAACAAACAAACAGACAAAGAGAAACGACCCAAAACGTGGGTGAATATCATTCCACTGGAGTGGCTGTGAGTAAAAAGGACATGTGAGGCTGCACGTAAATGACATGGTGTCTGTGTGTGCTTATATTTATTTATAAGGATTGTGAATTGCAATATGATCTTTATAGTGGAAGGGAGCAGAAGCAAGTGAGTTTGGCATTAAAATATATAATAAAAATCTGCTTTTTAATCTATGTCCTCCACTCTGGTGCACAGCTCACCGGGCATCACTCTTTACACTAATTGTAAAAGGCTTTATTTCATCCATCTTCAGTGGAAAATCAACCCACTATAAAAGTAGGATTTGAAAGCGTGTGTTACATTTGTTATATCTGTTTTACATATGCAGTCTGCTTCTCATGCTTGTATTATCCCAGTACTGTGCATATTTTGCACCCAGGGAAATACCAAGGGAGGGTAGAGAGCAGATAACACCTGCTGAAACTAGGGGAGAGTTTTCCTGCTTTTGCTTTGTCCTAAAGGCAGCCTTATTCTGTCTAATAGCCAGGGAGGAGATAGCAAGAGAGTTGTCTAAGGCTTTTTGCTATCTGTTAGTGGTAGATAAAGCAGAAACATCTTCTGAGTGCAGGAATCCTTTATTCCTGCTTCATTCCTGCATCAATCCTTTATTCCTAATCATCTGACCCAGTGTGTGCTTCCCATGCCCATGAAGAGAAGCTTGTGTTTCCAGAGTTGTGGTGTAGGGACACAGAGGGGAAAATGATGTGAATGGAACCCCTGGAGTTCCATGTTTATGTGTTCCATAAGTGTACAGTCGTCCAGATCACATGGACCTGTTGCAGTAGGACAAAGGATGATGATTTTAAACTAAAAGAGGATATATTTAGGCTAAATATATTGAAGAAAATTTTTACAAAGAGGGTGTTGAGGCACAGACACAGGTTGCCCAGAGAAGCTGTGGCTGCCCCATCCCTGGGAGTGTTCAAGGCCAGGTTGGATGGGGCTTGGAGCAACCTGGTCTTGTTGAAGGTGTCCCTGCTCATTGCTGGGCTGGATTAGATGAACTTTAAAGGTCCCTTGCAATCCAAACTATTCTATGATTCCATGATTCTATCTTTAGGGGCTTGCTTGGGAACAAGGGCTTCATTTGTACTTGTTCTGTTCTGCAGAAAGCAAAACACAATGTAATTCAATATTGTCAGCTCCAATCTGGATCTATGGCAACAACTGTGAAAATAGACAAGTCTTATTCTGCTCTGATTTCTTAGATTCCTGTTGACATTTGCAATGCTGTGTTTTGGAACAAAATTACTGAGAAGAAAAATTGAATATTTTGCTCATATTATATTTTTTTTTCCGCACCAGTACTCAGGATTGAATACCATTAACATTCTTGTAAGAATTCTATGGTCATAGATATTCCAAAACAGGTTTCTGTAACCCTGAGGTCAGAATTTTAAATTTTGCAAGGTTCTGTGGCTGCATCTAGTGGCAGTTCATACCAACTGCAGCATTCTGTTTACTGCAGCTGATACTTCTGTTTGGATGTGCCCATGTGCCCAGATACATAGGTCCATGTACACACACATACTTCTGTCTGCAAACGTGCATCAATAAAAATAAAACTTTTGAACGTGTTGTCACACATAGCTGCAATTATTCATTCTGAATTAATTCTTATTGTTTGAAAAAAGCAGAGATTTAATTACAGCAAATAGTCTCAGTAACAGGAACATGGTGACATTTCTCTTCTGGGGCTGATTGGAGCAACAGAAATCATTTCACAGGGTTTGGTTGTGGTTGCTAAATCTATCAGGCAGTGAGCTGAGCTGCTCTGAAGTACTTTAGTAATATGCATAAAGCATGTAAGTGTGAAACTTGTGCAAAAGTAAGCAGACTGAGAAGAATTAAAATCAGTTTCAAGTGATTGCTTATAATCCTTTATCTGAATTGGTCAAAGTACCTGCATTTGCTGAAAGGGAGGGAGGGATGGATATGAGTCTTCCATGTGTAAGAGATAAATGGATTATCTGTTTAGCAGAACTTTCAAGACCCAGAGATATTTTGTTTCTAGTACAGTTGTTCACCTTAGTCTTTTGTGGTAGTGACATGTAGCACCCTGTTTTGTTTAATTAACAGAAACAAGGCAGGAGGGGTTGAAGGTAGCATTCAGGTGGCTTTTTCTGGTGTGTTTTTTAAAGGGAAATAGCCATGGAAGTCTGCTAATGTTTTTTCCTTTTAAATCTCTTTCTGGGGCAAAATATTCACCCCATTTCTCCAGAGACAGCAGTGGGCTCTCATATGGAGAATACTCCAGCCAGTAAACCCAGGCAATCAGATGTGGACCAGATGAATAAGGTACAGTGACTAATTTGCTATTTTATGATTTTGTTTTTCATTGGTGGCCTTTTCCTTTTTTAGTTAAATAGTGAGGTTTAAATATGAAAGACTGTCACAACTACCCATGGGTGTGTTTTACTACTCCTAACTACATAAGTCTGTGTAGGTAATCCCAGCTACATTATATATATATATACATGCATGTAATTGATACCTGTAGCTAAGTTATATAGCTGTAATAGTTTGAGAGGCTAAAGACTACAGCAGAGTTTTCACTACATGTTTCAGTTTCATCCTTACTGAAATAAGGGATCTGTAATCAAGCTGAAATTCAGAGAAGTACAAGGTCTGTTTATGGACTGGCTTTCTGAACTTCCTTGTGGTTCTTCCTGTGCAGGGGCTTGAGTTGTGGCACCTTTAGAACGAGTAGGCCAAACTCTTTATGGTCCTAATTATTTTATCCCACTACTGAGCTGTAGATCTGATTGTGCTTAGCTTTTGCAGGACCAAGGCCTAAACCAAGGTGTGAGGTTTCAATGAAGCCTCAGCCCAGGAAGGGGTACATGCATTTTGAGAAAACAAATCACAGTAATGAAGCTTTTTCAAGTAATAAAGAGAAAGGAGAGATGAGTGGAAGCAAAACAAAGAGCTGTAGGGCTTGTTTCCTCAGCACATTTTGGTTGCCACACAATTAAATCAGTTTGTTTTCCTCAGGCATGTGTCTCCTGAGGGAGCTGTGGCAGCTCTGGCCCCCGTGGTGCACGTTCTTGTGTGATGGGCTGTGGTCATGGCTCCAGAGCCCACCCAGCCAGATCAAGGCTCCCTGTGCTCCCAGTTTTCTTTATGCTGACACTTCTGGGAAGGCAGGCAGAGCAGCAGGAGTGAAGCTGTTCCATACAAACAGTGCAGCTGAGTTCCTTTCCTTGCATGTTCATGGCAGACAGAAGGATTTTATATTGGGATCAAGTTGCTGTTTATCTTGTTTGTGTATTATTTGGTGTTCCTTCTGTGTCGGCTCTAATTTCAGAGTGTTGAATGCTTTCCTGGTACTGGGAGAGGGGCAGGAGATGCCACAGAGAAAAAAGATGACACAGCAGCAGCAGGGACTCTAAACCCACAAGGTCCTGAAGAAGAGGACTTGGAAAAAGGTGCAGGCAATACTCGGCAACACAAAGGACTCAGGAAAAGAGCAAGCCCCGGGGACTTGGTTGGAGACAAGGCCACCAAACAATTTAGAACTACACCATAATTGCTGTTTCAGAAATCAGCAAATTCAGTATAGTCTTAGAAATTGTAATTGACTGTTCTTAATTTGTGACACTGCAGAAATTTCTTCAGGTAAGATGTAATTTTTTTGCAACACGTGCTCTCCGTTTTATGTTTTGTTTTAAATAAAGCTTTTGTTTACTCAATGTCCTTTCCTTTTTCTTCTCACCAAGTAATTAAGTAGTAGCTGAGCCTAGTTATTTCCCTGCTCTGAAAAGATTTTATTGGATTTCATGAGGTGTCCAAAAGGGAATAATTGGAAGGCTTGTAGGTACTGATGTAAGAAGACATTTCTATGGAAACCACATCCTGCATTATGGAAGAGAGATACCACAACACACGTTGGTATCAGAATGACAGTTGTAACCTTCCTTTCAGAGTGAACAATTGATCTTGAATTGCTTTCATTTGAGCTTTTCTAGCAGAAAAATCTACCTTAAACCCTGTGGTGGACAGGATGGCACACAAAGGCCATTCATGCAGGAAAAGTTTGGTGCAGAGAACAGGAGAGTGAACAGAGCTACAGGCATTAAACTGCCTTTCAGTTCAGGCACTGTTACAATGCTGTGTGTAAGTTCAGGGTGTAGGACTTGGTGTAGATTCCACATTACATGTTTTATTCCATGTAGGCTCTTTGCTAATGTTTTGCATTTAATGAACTCGGAAATATAACATATTTCCCTGGATTGCTCATGTTGTGGCTTGGTAAAGAAATTTTGTTCTTTTACCACAAGCTGGTTATGTTAGAATATTTTATTTTATTTTTTTTAGTGAGGACTTTCTAAAGCTTGAATGTTGTGTTAATGATTACAGGTGAAAACTGTAAGGATCAGATCTTTAGTCCAGTGGAAGAGAAGGCTTTGCAGAGAGATACTTCAGTGCTGAACAGCAGTAGGGGCCTGATGAACCTGAAGAGATCCAGCAAACTGTAATTTTTAAGTCACTGCTTTGGAACAAGGAAAGGTAGCTATTTCTTTCCAGATACTAATCCAGCATTTCCAGGGCGACAGTTCTGTAGGCAGGCATTGTAGGTACACTGTGGGGATGTGTATTTTCCCCCCTGTACAGCAGAATTGCTCACTCATAGCCCTGTCACCCTGTTTTGGTTTAAGGTCGTGATTTAACGTAGCATTTATCCCTGTATCCAAGTAACTCCTCCCCCCTTGAGCTGCTCTGTAAACCATGTGCCTGAGACACATAGAAATCAGACCTTCCTAGGTATCTCTTAAAAGAAAAAAAAAAAGCTATAAATGGAACAAGTTTTTGCCAAGAGAATTAAAACACTGGATTGTGTGCCAGCCTTAATCACGTTGCTATGGTTCTCTTGTCTCAAAGAAAGTGCATTTAGGATTAACTTTATAGTCAGTTAGTCTTCAGATTGTTGAAAAGTCACCAAGAGTGTGCTATGAAGACTGCCACAAACTCCATGTCCTCCTGTGCAGCATTCTTACTCAATGTATGGTTAAATACAAACCTTTTTTTTTAAGAAAAAAAAAAAAGAGATATTTGTGAAGACTTGCAATACCAGTTGTGCCTAAGTATGATAGAAAATCATTATATCTCTACTCCTGAAAGCTGATCTGGTATTGCAGGAGCCTGGCCTCATGTCTAGTTTGCACATTATATTGTAATGTCAGGGTAAGGTAAGCTGGGGTTGTTCCAGCGAGTGAGGAACCTTAAGAAATTTAACCTGAATTAAGTCTTTCTACAAAATTTTATCTAAGAAGGCCCCAGGAAATGCTATATGAATTTATATTAGAGTAAAGGAGATGGATAAGGTACTGTGTGTGGAATGGGCAGACAACTAATGAGATTCAATTCATTCTATATCTGGAGATACTTTGATTTAGAGGGAAAAAAATCAATTTTTCAAAATCCTCCAACTGAATTTATGTTTCACCTGTTAACCAGTGATCCACAGCCTGCATTAGCACCACTTTACTGGGCCTTCTTGCAGAAAAGTTGCTGCTTTCCTCTGTGTGTGAATTGTCTTTCCTGAGTTTGTTTAGGTTTTAGTTTCCTAAGTGTCTCCTTTTCATCAAAAATTCACATGGTGGCAGCTGGGCCTCTTAGAGAAGTAACCAAAGGTGCATTTGCTGAGGTGGTGTTGGCAGTGCTCGATGCTCTCTAATCAAAGTGATCACATCATCCTTCTAATCAAAACTTGTGACTTATTAGAGCCAGGAATTCTGAGGTCCTACTTAACTGTACTAAACTCCTGGGCTACAGGTTTCTTACAGGTTTCAGGATGGCACAGGCTTGCTCCATGTTAGTTCAGAAATGCTGACTTAGAGAACAATTAGTCTGAATATTGATTTTGTTTCCCTTTTTTTTTTGTTGTTCTATTAGTGCTGTAAGGTATCTGATTAATTCAGAAGCCTGGACTTGCAACTCTTTTTAGCAGTCTGAAGCTCTTCTCAGATCACAGGAATCTTAAGAGGGTCTGAAGCAGAAACAGATCTAATATTTTTGCTTTCTTAACAGAACAGCATAGGAAAAATCCACCCAACAGCACAAACATCTTTTTTCTCTCAGTGGAAGTTCTTTTATTTGAAAGAAATCTGCATTTACTCAAGGACAGGATGGTTTCAGAGCGCTGGAAAAGTTGGCAAAGGCTTGAAGGAGCATTCCAGTTCTTGGAGTTAAGTTTTCAAAGCCTTAGATTTAATCTCTTTCTGAATCTACGCTCTGGGTGTGGTGTCACACAGTCGTGTTTCTGCTGAGGAGATGAGGTGAGTGTGTGTGTGTGAGAGGGGTGGCAGGTCTGCTCAGAGGGAATTTGTTCCTGTAGTTCTTACAAGCACAGACACTTAAGTTTGGTCTGCAGTGAAGATGTTAGACATCCAGATCAGTGTTAGCAGTGATCCAGTGGGTGTGTGCCAAGTGAATAAAGCATTGGAATCGCTCTCAAGACAAGTAAACATATGGATTTTAAGGCTAGAAATTTCATTACGTTAATCTCTCCTGATGCTTCACGTAATGGAAGCCAGACAATTTCATGCATGGTCGCTGCATCAAAAAAAATCATTGATTTTGGTTGAAACAACCCATTTTTTTAAGAAGGATTGTTTTGATTTGGCAGTTTTGGTTTTCAGATGTTGGGCAGTGGGAAATCTGCCACGTTCCTTGGCAAGTTGTTCTAAAGTTTTGTCTTTACGAGTGCATCCAGTTACTTTAGTCTGAATTAATTTTGTTTTAGTCCCCTGTGATGGATTTTGCTGTTCTGTTTAATGCTGGGCTGTGGCTGTCATGCTGTCAGGATTCTTTCAGCGTAGGGATGGACACCTTGTGGTCCGTCATGACATCAGCGCACAGCTCTGGTTTTTGGATCTGCCTCTCTGAGGCAGATTTTCTTGACCTTGCTTCATTCTCCCTGTCCTTTCAGATAGATTTTCATTTTTTCAGATTCCTCTAAGAAGCCTAAATATCATTAGACCCTCCCCCCATTCTGGTTCCAGTCACGCCGAGTGTTCCGGGACTGCCGTGACCTGTGGTTGTAAATCATCGCGGGATCCTTTTGTGCTCGTGGGTGTTCTGATGGTGACCATGCACTGTAAAACTTAAACTTAATTAAGAGGTGTCTGTTTTAAAGTGTTGTCTGTGATGGCTGCACTGAAAATGCAGCTGATCTTGTGTCACCTGTGTCGGCACCACGAGATGGCACCATTACACAGCATAACTGTGTCATCATCTCTTAGGGGCTTGAGACCCTGCCCAGGATTTAAATGCATCACTCGTTGGCTTGACTTCTTCAGATGGAGGATGAGGGTGTGGTAAAGCTTGTCTTGTGTTTGTCGTTCAGGCTCATTTATCTGTGGAGTTCTTATTTTTTAAAATATTTGTGAAGCCAAGGAGAAGTCAGAGTAGGACAAAATGCAAATTGCATCCAGACTGGGCCCCCCATTCTCTTGTCTCATCAGGGGTGGGACTTTCCACATAGTATCTCATTGTTTTCCAGCAGATGATTCTGTCTCTGTGTTCAACAGATAACTCAAGCATCTAATTTTTCATTTCTGTCCCTTCTCTAACACATACTTTGCATCAGAGAACTCCTGAGCACTTTCATGTAATAGCAGCTGCCATGTAATATACTGGTAATACTCTCAGCATTAGAAAAGAAAGGATGGTCTCTATTTGCCCTAAAGGTTAAATTTTCTTCCTTTGCTACTGTGTTTTACATGTGACAATTTCAAAGGAGAGAAGGGCAATTAAGTAAGCAGATGATTTAATCTAAATTTTATTTTTTCATTTTTTGGAAACGTTTACTGTTTAGTTAAATTGATAAAACAAAATTTTAGTGCAAAGATAAAGTTGTAATTAAAGGCAGGTCTCCATCCTAATCAAAGTTTGCAATATAAACATTTCAAGGCAAGTTGTTCTCCATTCTTTCACTTGCTGTTGCAAAGCCCAATGCTAACTCTGTTTTTGGGGTGATTTCCCAGTTCTCCAGGCCTGCAGTATCACTCCATGATTCCTGTGGCATGACACATCTCCCTGCTAAGTGGCAGGAGCTCTGTTCAACTTTGAATTTATCACATCAGTAACTTGGGCCAACATCAATGTATTATGGGATCAGTTTGGACACTCCTGGAATTCTCTTGAAGCATCTGCTAGAACTCACCTTATTGAAATTTCTGGTGCCTTCTTTCTGCTGTGGTTTTTGTGTACAAATTTTAGAGGTTTGGGAATAGAAATTAAACACTAAATAACCACTTCTGACTTGTATTACTCGATTCTGCAAAGTGAGTGATCCAGAAGACGACCTAACAAGTAGGTGTCAAAGTAGAAGAGAATTGGGGATGTTCAAATCCGCATTTTAGTGTCCTTTCCTGTGGATGAAGAAGGGAGGGAACAGTCTGAAATTCAGCTACATGGATTCTTGTTAACATTTGCATATTAAGGATGTTGCAGAAAAAGAGGAAATTAACGTGTCCAAATAGAATTTCTGCTTTGTAAAATTTATTGCTCAACTGCATAAACAAAGAATGCATTCAGCTGTAGTTCATTGTTTGGTACTGACTTAGGCCTTCCTTTATGTATTTTTTGTTACAGATGAGAATGCAGTAAAATATAAGTACATGGGAGACAAAATTAGAGGTTTGTAATTAGCCTGCTTTGCAATTTCTTTCTTCTTGCAGTCCAA